GATGCATTAAAAAAAAAATAACCTCAGAAATGTTGAAGCTCAGATATGGAGGCAATATGGGCATCTTTTTCATTTAAATTAATTAGAAACAAGCTTGCTAAAACATTTTGATTACACAGGAGTTTATAATCTTAATGTGGCTAGTGCTGATAACACTCATATCCACTTATTTAAATGCAGTAAATCTCTATCAGGCTAATGAAAGGGGAGTAGCCCAGTTAATCCAAAATGGCTACTTGGAAAATGGGTTATTTTTCATTTGGAGTGCTTTGTATTATAGATATACTCTGCATACATGTATTTTAGCAGATTTACCTGCCTAGTGTCTTGTTTAGGTCAATTTTTAAAATAGTTTTTATTTGTTAGAGTGGCTGAGCCATGGAAAAAACACTTGATAATACGTTGGGTTGTGGGTAGAGAGAAGCCCAGGATTAAAACTTCGAGGGATCTTTGAAACAGTTTATACTGGAGATATGTCCATTGACTCAGCGCTTGCTACATTCCAGGATTTTCTGAAGAAAGCCTGTGGAACAAAGCATGTTTGCTATACTTTGGGTCATTTAACAACAATTTAAAGTTATAGCAAGACCAAAAATTTAAAGGAGAAATAGCTCTTAGCATTCATTCCATGTCCTTAGAATGGTGCCAACTACCCAGTATAGAATCTTTGGTATTTTCATGCTTTGATTACTGAATGAATACTTTTCATGTTCTTTTTTATGTTCACAAAACACAATAAAATTAAATACAACTAAAGTCATTTACCAAATAAAGTGCACTTTGAGCACTTTTTAAAAAGGTATTTCGTGTTTCATATGCGTATGAGGAATATGTTCTTACCGTGCTTTTGGAAAAAAGTGATAATCTGCGGAAGGACTAGACGTTCCTGTTACACAAGGAAACCATTTAGAGAGTTTCTGTTTTGTCTTGCATTGCAAACTATAGGATACCTCTTACCAGAGAAGAGTGAACAAGCAGGCCAGTGTTTTCTTTTCTCTTGCCTTTTATACAATGTTTTGATATTTGGTTCAAACCAATCAGAATCAACGGAGAAAGTAATTGAGGCTCCTTCCGCAGCTAACTTTTGGTTATCTAGTTCTATGTCCCATTGGGGCTTATAGATGCACGATTTTTGGAAAATTTTTACTGCAAACTTGACCTATTTTTTTTT